GTCTCAATGTATAACTTTTATTGCAAATAAAAATGTTTGACTGAAATCTCAATGTACTGTAGATAAGGAAAATGGAAAGTATCGTACAGTTACTCTACTTTATGATGTTATTTAATATATTATTTCATCTCTATTATTTTTGATAAGAATAAAGTATTTTGACATGTTTATTAATGTTTTTAACATTCATATTATTTAATAACATAACCTATTTAATATTTACAAACATTAATTAATTAAAAACTATAAATGACTGTTCAATAAACATTTCCATGTATTGTAAATTTGCATACTTTTACAATATAAAGTATTGTTTAGTCTGATATTTATTAAAAGAATGTGTATTTTTAGATTATGATTATAATTCGTATACAGTATAAAGATACCTTATATCGACAAAAGTTTATTTTAAAAAATCAAATAAATTCATTAATTGAGATGACATTTTATAAATAAATTATATATAAAAATTAAATTACAATCAAATGATTTAAACTTTAAATTTTAAAGTATAAATTAATTATAAATAAAATTATGTGGAGTCAACAAAGTGTGGTTTAATAGCCACGAGAAACAATAGAGAGTTGATAATCAATATTAATATAAATTCAATTATTTTAATCATATTCTTCATAGATTACGAGAAATCTTTTCAAAGCCTTGTTTAAAATTGCTTTAAATAGTCCACAAAACAATTAATATAAACTCATTAACATCTTAATTGTTTTTATTATTATAAATGCAATGCAATCAGAAGTCAGTGAAACAAACGACAGGGTTTAGGGATCCAAAGACATTAAGTTCATAGAGACTGGCCATTGAAATAAAGACAATGTACCAAATCATTAATATAATGCCATACTTTAGACTTAGTTTCCATCCATTCAAATGAGTGATCACTAGAAAGAAGATGACAGTCGCCAGAAGGGATACTGTCGAGTACTCAAGACCTGAATAGAAATGAAAATTACATTCATATAAAGTAGAGTAAATGTGGCCACTGATGTACCCCTGCTAATGACGTCAATATGTGAACCAGGGTCAATTATGGCAGTCTTTAAAAACCATGGAAGACCTAAACAAACGAGTATATCGAATACATTACTGGCGATAGCATTAGTCAAAGCCATGTCAACCAATCCCTGCCGAACAACAATAAGGCTGGCGATAGCGTCGGGAATACTGGCGCCGAAAGCGATAAAAACTAAACCCATA